CACCCAGAACGAATCAGAGGGCATTCACCCACTCAATTCTTTTATTCCATAAATATTTGCTGAGCACTTGCTATCTGCCAGCTGTCCTGGGTACTGAGATCAGGAAGTGAACAGGGCAGGGACAACCAACAACTAAATCAACAAAAAGACAAAGTAATGTCACACTGTGATGAAGCTTACGGAGGAAACTCACTGGAGCTGGGGAGACTGGGTGGGTAGGGCAGCTCCTTTAGATAAGATGACTACGGAAGACCTCTGCCACCATTCTCCTGCCTAATGTTCCCATGACTTCCTGTTACTGCACTCAGGATGAAACCCACACTCCTGTCAGCTGCCTGTAAGACCCTGGGATACGGTTCCCATCTGCCTCTCTGACATCACCTCCTCCCAATCTCCTTCTAAATTAGAGTGCTCCTTAAACTCGCCAGATATGTTTCAGCCTCAGGGCCTTTGCCCTCACCCTTCCTCTGCCTGGAATGCCCTTCTCCTGATAGAACCTTCTTTTCCATATCAGGCCTAGTTCAGATATCAGCTCCTGCAAGAAAGTTCTGCTGGCCATCCTATTTAAAGTAGCATCTCCAACCCCACAAGTCACTGTCCCATTATTGTGTTTTATTTCCCTTATAGCATTTATCACTCTCCAAAATAATTTTATTTCATTGTTTGTTTTCTGCTGACCCCTATTATCCATCAGCTCACGGAAGCGCCAGGAGAGCAGAGATGTCACCGTCCAGCTCACGGCTTCATCTGGTGTGGAGATGCCTGGAGCATCGGGTGTCAACTGACCAGCCACCTGAACTTTATTCATGCAGGGTAATCAAGAGCCGCAAAGTTAATCTCAGTAGATGGGAATGCCAGGCTTGGGAATGGTTTTAATCAAAGCATCATTGATTAAACGTTTAAATTGAGAATATTGCTTCATTTATTATCTAAATCAGATATTGACAATTGGTAATTGTGAAAGTGGCAAAGACTATACATATACCTCTACCAAGGGGCTAAAATTAGAATCAGATAAGGGCTTAAAATGTCTTACAGCACTTGATTCTATAGAAAAAGAACAATTCTATGGGTCTGGTTATTTTAGGTGAGTCATAATCCTCTAGAACCTTATCAAGGTACTGTGGTGTTGCAGAACCATAGAAGCCAAAGAGGGGCTCTTGACAGATCCAGTTCCAATCCTATAAGGTTCCAGTCTCTCCCTTGCTGAGTTCTAGCATTCTCTCATAGTCGCTTACCTCAAAATGCCTCTATCCACCTGTTGCTTTGGTTCTTCATTACGGAGGATGAGGCAAGGGCTGGACATCTCTATTCAGCCTTCCTAGAATCCCCAAACTCCAATCCTAAATGGCTTTGCTACAGCTCTCTTTATTACAAAAAAAAGATAAAACAAATACTTTATATCTATACAATTAGGCACTGATTTAGATTAATGGATATGTCCCATTCCTTTTCATAGCTGATAGAATCATCAATAAAATACCCATGAAGAACAGTTCTCTGGTGAACAAGCAATTGTGCAAAGTATCTATAGAAAAATGGAATCTATACTCTTAACTTATAGATGAATATTGTAACTGAGTTGTGCTAATAAATATCACCTCTTTTTCCTGTGCAGGTTTTGAATCATGTGAGAAGACAAGGAATATGAGGTAACCTATCGTTTTAGTATATTATTAAGGAGTTTATTTTGAAGAATGTGGCTTAGGAGTTTTAAATTCTGAATCTTGTCTTCCCGGGCATGAACCACAGGAATATTCAGGATCTAAGGTGAGTTTATTGTTCTGAAACAACTGTCTACTCCTCATGTAGGCTAAAATGCATGAAGACACATCAAGAAGCAGGATCGTGGCCAGGCTGAGCTCCCTCCACTAGGAAGCACCAGCAATGGGAAAGACGTATTGCCCCTAGGAGAAGCTCTGAACTCACCTCTGATTCTGGAATGTTGAAGTCTGGTGTGGGTTGAGTTAGGAGGTGACATAAGAAAGACTGGTTGCTGGTTCATACTTTCAGGACTGCTTGACATTCTTGTTGCTCATACTTTTCCAGGTAAGACCAGGAAAGAGTCAGAGATCCAGATGTTTTGGAGTCCTCCATTCCTTCCAGGTCATATTGCCCTATGCCCACCCATGGTAGACTTTGGCATTGATGTAATATGGTGACATTCGCAGAAGCTGGTCATCGAGTACAGTGAGCACGTCTTCCTTGATAACTAAACTGAAGACAGGAAAATTGCAATAGGCTCCTCCTGGCTTAGGAGATAGGATTGAGACCCTCCATTTGAGATCCTATGCTAATTATGTGACATTAGTCTATATTCAGTTTTCCTAGGTTTCTGGTTAAACTTTTATAAAGTAAAAGTAGTAGGTTGAAAATTCCATGAAAAAATCATAGAAAGGAGAAATAATTGCAACTCTTATATAGAGAACTCTTACAACTCAAAACCAAGAGAATCAATTCAATTTAAAAATGGGCAAACCATTGGAACACATACGGAACAAAAGAAGAGAGTTGAGAGTCTCCTAAGCATGTGAAAAGATGCTCAAATCCTTTGCCAACAGGAGATAGAAATTAAAACCAGAGTGAGATGCCAGTACATACCACGTAGAGTTGCTGATATTATAAAGACTAACGACACAAAGTGTTGGCAAGGATTAGAAACAACTGGAAATCTCATATATTGCTGATGAAAATGTAAAGGGTACAACAAACTAGGAAAACAGTTGACAGTTGATTAAAAAGTTAAACACAAACCTATAATATGATGCAGCCATTCCACTCAAAATATTTACCCAAGAGAAATAAAAGCATATGCCCACATAAAATCTTATACACGAACACTCATAACCGTTTTATTGATCATTGTAGGAAACTTGAAACTACCCAAATGTCCATCAACAGAGGAATTGATAAATAAACTATAGTACATTCCATACAATGGAATACTATTCAGAAATAAGAAACTACCGCATGGATGAATCTCAAAATGATTACATTGAGAAAAAGAAGCCAGACTAACAAAATCAAACCAAACCAAGCCCAGAACAACTGTATGAATCTATTTATATAAAATTCTAGAAAAAAAAACAAACTAATCTACAGAGACTAAGTGAATCAGTGGTTGCCTGGGGATGGGGTTGGGAAAGGGATAGACTGCAAAGGGGCAAGAAGACACCTTCAGATGTGATGGGAATGCATCTTGGTTGTGAGGTAGTTTCACTTCTGTGTATATCAACCCAACAAAACCCATTGTACTGTACACTCTAACCAGGTAATCTATGGTTATAAATGATATCTCAATAAGTTAGTTTATAAAGAAAATAAATAATAATAATTAAAAAACAGGCCTTTGGTGTGGCACACACCTATAATCCCAGCTATTTGGGAGGCTAAGGAAGGAGGATTTAAAGTTCAAGGATAGCCTGGGTAACTTAGTGAGACCCTGATTCAGAATAAAATGTTTTAAATAAATAAATAAATAAATAAATAAATAAATAAATAAATAAAGGCTGGAGAGGTAGCATCCCTGGGGTTCAGTGGTAGAGCACACCCGTAACACCAATACAGGCATCAGTTTAAATCCTGGTGCCAGAAGTCACTCATGTTGAGAATGCTTGATGCCACATCATGGGCCTTAAAAGATCAAAAATATTTAAAGGGACCTCTCAGCCATAGGAGAACAAAATCCAATCCAATTTTTAAGCAAATATTTTTGGTTATAAATGGACCCAATAATTTTATTTATTTTTAAATGTGGTACTGAGGATCGAACTCAGTGCTTTACATGTGTTAGGCAAGTGCTCTACCCTGAGCCACAACCCCAGCCACCCAATTCCTATTTTTGAATGGAGACTTTTCGGACAATAAGGAGCTAACCTGTTGGGCAATAATCTAATTTTTAAAATCTAAAGTCAGAGTTAAAACTCAAACTGGAATCCACAAGGTGTTTTCAGTTTCTATTCCTCTGGCTCTGGCTGGGGCTGGGCATTGGGAGTGTTGGGGCCTCTTAAGGACAGAGCACTGGATTTAAAAGACTCTAAGGCAAGTGAAAAAGCTGGTTCCTGAAACACAGTAAGACGCCAGGGGCTGAGGAAGAAGGGGACAGGTGAGGGAACCAGAGGTGGGGTGCATGGCCACGAAACCCCACCACAGGAGCGGGGAGGTCAAACCGTCTGTCCCAGTTCTCCTCCTTGATGGCACTGTATTTCCCCTTCCTTGGCTGTCACCCACAAGCCTTCAGTAAAATGAGATTAAACGCTGCAATTTGATGTGAACAGCATTTGGGAACATGGGTTTGGGGTCTGTGTCCAGGCAGATAAACAACGTGGAGAGCCATGGAAGCTTGGAGATGTCATTATAAAGTTGCTAAAAACTGATCATTAGAGAGGCATAGTGCCATTGGTCCACAGTGAAAGGGAACAAAAGCCAAGTGACATTTTGGAGAAGTTTCTCAGAGATTCTCAGGACTACCCCTGGAGAAAAGAGGATTTTTGGGGAACACAATGGGAGTGACTACGTTATTGAATGTTTAAAGAATGGTGTCCTTGCCCGGTGCAATGGCACACACCTGTAATCCCAGTGACACAGGAGGCTGCGGCAGGAGGATGGCAGGTTTGAGGATAGCCTCAGCAATTTAGTGAGTCCCTAAACAATTTTGCGAGACCCTATCTCAAAATAAAATATAAAAAGGACTGAGGATGTGGCTCAGTGGCTGAGTGCCCCTGGATTCAATCCAAAAAGGTGGTAGTGTAGGGATATTTGGGAATATAAAGAATTTAAGCAAATTCACTTACCATGGACCTTTTAACAACTTTGAAATAGATTTTGAAATATCCTGACTTATTTTGGACTCTGACTTAGAAAAGTAATCCATGAGGCCAGGTTCCCCCAGTGTATCTCAAAAGCTGGGAAGAGCCCTGTGATATATGACCGAATCCTGATGGTCAATAGCCTCTGACGTCAGTTAATGACTGGACTTTGCACCTGAAAGAGAGTTAAAACCCAAGGTAGTTCAGGAGAGGAATCATTTCCTCCTTGGATTACCAGGCAAGAACAGCTAAAATGAAACCTCTTCTCACTCTCCTTTTCATCAGCTTGGGTAAGAAATGTTTGTTTGTTTGTTTGTTTGTTTTATTTTAATTCTTCCAACATGTTTGTCATCATGGGATAGAATCCAGTAGGTTTTCCTGTCTGACTCAGCTCAAAGATGCAGGCATTTTAGTCTGCAAGGGGCAAGACAGAGAGAGCTGCAGCAAACTGTCTATGAACTAGGACTTTGAGGATCAGAGATTTGTCTGAGACTAAATAAGAATGACTCGGTCGTCTTCTTGGGGCCTAGTGGTCTGCCGTAGCATTCTGGATCTGTCCTCTGAATATAAGAGGGACAGCCACAGGATAAAGCCCTCCTTTCACCAAGGTCTTTGTGTGTACTAAACCACAAGGAGCAATTGCAATATTGATTAGACTGCAGACAGGTGCTTCTCTTCTGAGTTTGGAAGGGCTCCCTGGGGGCCAGTGGCAGGGAAGGCCACCTGTGTGTCTGAGAGGTGAGGGTTTAACAGCTTGAGTTTGCTTGCAGAAAGAGATGTCGTACTGATACGTCAGAAAGGTGAAAAGAAATTGAATCTGCTTTAGAGAACTGGAGCGGCAATGTCAGGATTTGATTTTCTAAGATGTTCCCCCTGCTAATAGGAGGAAGGTGGGGAAAACTATTCTCAGAGGAGGGGCAAGCCTCACCAGATCTTCCTGTCAACCCTGGAGATAGCTGTCATAACCAAACCTTCAGGTCCAGTAAGAACTGGTGAGGTTTATAGGAGTTTCATGAGCCACTGCTAAAGGAGGCTTGACATACTATGTAAAATATAAGAAGGATGGGTGGATAGGATGGGAAATTTGGCTGAGAGGGTTGGAGAAATGGCTAGAGATCAGAGAATCAGGAGTTACTCATTCTCAAGGTCCCTTCTGGAGCAGGGTAGGGTGGGGTGGGGGAAAACATGGAGAAGACTTTTCTTGGCTCACAGGGCCCTGGGGAAGGGCTCAGAGCTCAGCAGATCGTATGCTCCAGAGTGGGGGCAGTTATCCAAACACCATGAGCTGCTAATGAGCTCTGGGGTGCCTGCTGAAGAGTGACTGGGGCAGGTAAATGAGAAAGGTATGTGACCTGCAGGGCACATAGTAAGCTCACTGGATGCTTTCTGCTATGCCTGCCCTCATATCCAATTTTTAAACTTTGGTTTTGTTTTTGCTTTTCTTTTTTTAAGTTATGCAAGTCATGCAGACCCATGTAACAAATTCAGACAATACAAATGTGTATGAAATAAAAAGTGAACATCTGACCTGCCCTCCTATCTATCTGTCCCCATTCTAGCAATTCAAACCCAGAAGACTACTATTGGTAGTTTTGGTGACTACGACGGGTTTGTTTCTTGTGGGGAGGAAAAGGGGCAAAAGCTTCTTTTTCTAAGAAATATTAAGGATTTGGCAGATGTGGAAGGAACTATTATTTCAAACATGAGTTCCATCTCAGAGTCCTAACAACCAAGGGCAGGAAGTGCCTCTTGTACTTTCCCATTCTCCCCAGCCCCAGTTCCTTGCATAGACTTTTCCCGCAGTAACCCCTTCATAAGAATGTTCTGTAAAGATGAAGAGATGTGCAGAGACTATTCAAAGTCCCTTTACAGGCAAAACTTTCCAGGTTGTTTTTGCTTTCTTCGAGCGATAAGGGCTGCTTTATTTCACAGCATCTGATTAGTAACTTTGGGAACCAACATTTCTTAATATTGAAGGATTTAGGGCCTGGGGTTGTGAGCTCAGTGGTAGAGTACTCACCTCGCACATGCAAGGTCCTGGGTTTGATCCTCAGCGCCACATAAACATAAACAAAATAAAGGTATTATGTCCAACTACAACTAAAAAATAAAAATAAAATATTGAAGGATTTAGATTTGTAAGAAGGGCATTTTATTGTGAACTTCAGTGAGCTTAGAATAGAGAAGCAGATGTTCCCTGGATGGTGGTGGTTGTGAAATGTTCTCTAGGAAGAGCCAGATCAGGGCATACTTTTTCTTTTCTTTTCTTTTCTTTTCCCAAGATGTTAAGATTTTATTTACAAAGCTTTTTTGTTGTACAGAAAGTAAAAATGCTGTTACAATCTCGGTGTAACTGGTAGCCACGGATAGTTGACTCACCAATCACAGCTATCCATGCTACAGCAAGAGTCTTACACAAAAAAAACCTAACAATGCTTACAATTTTGTTGGGGCAAAGTCCCCAAGCTTGGTGATGGATTACCAAGAGGGACTGAAAGGAGGAAGGTGGAATGTCACAGGAACTATTCTTTGGCTCTTTGGGTGGGTGGGCGTCCTGGGGTTTGTATCACAGCTACCTTTTTTTAAAAACAACTATCAAATCTATGAGCAGTCCAACCAATACTGAACAGTTCTGTTTTTGCAGTTTATCTGGGGTCTTAATCATCTTCTCCTTCATCATCTGTTTCTCTCTTCCTCTTTTCACCTTTCCGGCTTTCTTCCTCCTCTTCTTCATCTTCATCTACTTCTCCATCGTGCCCAAATTCTTCTTCCTCCCTGCTGACTTCATTTTAATTGTCTTCCCCTTCTACATCTTCATCTTCTTCATCAAACTCTTCCTCCTCACCACCCTCATCTTCTCCTTCTTCATCCTCCTCTTCTTCATCCACACCATCCACCTCGGCATCTGAGTGGGGGGAGTCTTCTCCATCATATCGGTCCAGGTAGGTCAGCTGGGGCAGGAGCCTGAACACACTCTCTGTGAAGATGAGTGGCTTCACAATTCAACAGATCCAGGCTCTTCAGACAATCCAACTGTTTCAAAGGTTCCAAGGTGCCGATGTCTTTCAGTTTATTTCCACTTCAGTTTAGATGTGTGACATTTGGAAGTTTTTCTGCTAACATATCCAGACCTCCATAGATTCTGTTATCACTGAGCTCAAGCTTTTTCAATTTAGGTAGCTTGGGGAGATTTGAAACTGAAATCAAGCCTACATTTATTCAACTGAGGAACTCCAAGTTCACAAATTCAGCAGTCAAGCCCTCAATTTTTCCACCATTTGATTTGCAATTGTCCAAGACAAGTTCCCGAATAGGTTTCTTCAGCTCCAGGTGGATCCTCCTCTTCAAGTCCATGTTCCCCTCATCCCCTCTCTTCAAACTTAACTTTCCGCAGCCTGGACAGAGCCGGCAGAGGCACCCGGCCTGGGCGGCTAGGGCCGTCAGAGGGGGTTGTAACAGCGCCACCTTGTGGCATCTTCAATTATCTTCACTGAGAATTGTCAAAAATATTAAACCCAGATTGACAGCTTTGCGTTACAGGCTTAAAAGATATTACCTCTTGGATACTTCTCACTTTAATAAACATTAAATCTTTGTTATATTTTTCAATAACATTTCCAGTTTTGACTGTTTAACTTTATTTTCTCTTTAAAATTAGTCCTGTGTTTCTATTTTCTTTTTTTTTAATAAAAATATTTAATTTTTAGTTGTAGTTGAATACAATATCTTTATTTCACTTATTTATCTTTATGTGGTGCTGAGGGTCGAACCCAGTGCCTCACGCATGGCTGACGAGCACACTACCACTTGAGCCACATCCCCAGCCCGTGTGTTTCCATTTTCAATATATTCATCTTTATTAGTTTTTCCAGAAAAGAGAAAGTTGAGTACTAATTAGTACTAAGTAATAGTAAGTGCCCTTATTTATTTAATGTGCTGACTTCTGAAACTTGGCACCTTTGTCTCTTTATTCACAGCTATAGCAAACAGTTCTTCCACAACGCCCTCCACCAACGCGACAGACATGCCCTCCACCAACGCGACCGAAGCGCCCTCCACCAACGCGACAGACGCGCCCTCCACCAACGCGACAGAAG